CACCAATGCAGTAATCCAAATTAAACCAGATTAGATCAAATTAGAAGATGCCCAGGTTTAATGGATGCCAGCGCTCCGGGGTGGCCACCGGGAAAACACGGGGTGCGGGGGTGCAGGGGGGTGCAGGAGGAGAACCGGAACGACTACCAGAGAGGGAAAAGTGGAGACCACATATTCATTCTCTGGGGGGGGGGGCAGTTTAAATAGCCTGTGAGAGTGGCCTTGACCCTCCCTGGGGAGGGGTCACTGTTTGTCGGGTTTTCTCAGAGGTGGAGTTTGAACTGAGGCAACTCCCAGGGGAGGGAGCTTTAAAATGTAATTTTCCATCCAGCCAAACATTTCAGACATTTTTTGGATAAGGATGCTTTTAACCAAACAGGCATGTGCCACCACCACTTGGCCTTGATTTTTCTTTTAGAAAATGTGGGTTCTGGGTATTGAATTCAGGCTTTCATCTTCTAAGCAAACACCTTGCCAAAAAGCTTTTTGCTCAGCCCTGTCTGGAAGTCATAAAAACATTTGTAGGAGCATGTTGATAGCAGCAATATTCACTGCCAAAAGGTGGGCACTCAAATGTCCATCAACATAACTAAATAAGCACAATGTCATGTCAAAAGAGTAGAATATAGATGTTATTCAGCTATAAAATAATGCGGTGCGTAATGGTCTGTACTGTCCCTTTAAAAGACAAGCCCCGCCCACTCCCTCTTCCGAGGCAGGCGGATCTACCTTCCTTCGCCTTCTAGCCTGCAAGCTCTCTCTCTCTCTCTCTCTCTCTCTCTCTCTCTCTCTCTCTCTCTCTGCCCCATTCTCTTTGGAAAAGGTGGCTGAGGCCTCTTCTCCCTCCCTTTCTCTGTTTCTCTCTTTCCCCCCCACTCCTCCTTCCCTTTTACTGAATAAACTATATCCAAACTCATTCTGCATGGCGTGCCTATCCATCTCTGTCTCTCACCCTCCACGGCTTTTCATAGGACCCACTGCCCCGCCAACCGGCTGAGGTCTCTCATACAGAAGCCTCGGGTGGTGGCCTCCGGCTGCCCCTCGTGGCCCGCTGCCGCCCCTCAGCACCTGCACCGTTTTATCTAAACTGTCACAGGGTGTCTTATATTGCTTGGATCAAACCCAGCAACTTGGATGTGCTAGACGAGCACTCCGCCACTGGTCCACACTCCTGGACCCTGAAATTTGATCCTTGAGGAAGGATGGAGTTTGAAAACAGTGAGATGGTCTGGAGGCAGGGATGCACTGTGTCCTCATACTGGTGTAATGTAGGTAAGACGGTCAGATCCAGAGCTGAAGTGGAATAGAGGTCGTGTTGTGGGTTCCGGTTAGTAGGTGCAGTGTTGGAGAAGCTGAGAGTCTGGGGGTAGTGATGGTGGTGACTGCGTACCATTGGATATGCAATGTCAATGAAGTATGTGCTTACACATAGTGCTTAACATGGTAATTTACACTGCACATATTTTAACATAAGCACAGAAAGGTCATTATTTTATTAGAAAGGTCTTTAGGTATCTGTGGGGGAAATCTTTGTTTTATTTATTTATTTACTTATTTTGAGACAGAATTTCTCTATGAAATAACTCTGTCTATATTGGAACTCACCATATAGACCAGGCTGGCCTCGAACTCACAGAGATCTGCCTGCCTCTGCCTCCCCAGTGCTGGGATTAAAGGTGTACACGACCATCACCCATAATATCTTTTAGATATTATTAGCTTCTAACAAGTATGGAATTTGTAAAACCTCATGTTTGTTTGAAAACTCAAGTTTTATCATTGAAAATACTCAGTAATTTTTCTTGATGTTCAAGACCGAGTCAAGGCAAATCTCACACATAATAAAGCCTGGAGAATGTGATCACGGGTGGCTCTAACCCAGACAGTGCTGTGGCAGGTGAGACAGCTCAGCAGATGAAGGCACTTGCCGCTAGCCCCAGTGACCTGAGTCTCTCCCGGCCCCACATAGAGAAGAGAACTGACTTCTGTGAGTTGTCCTCTGGCCTCCTCCTGTGCACTGAGGCAAGCACATGAAGTGCACACACATGAATAGCACACACATGAATAAATAAGTATTTTTTTTTAAAGATTTATTTATTTATTATGTATACAACATTCTGCCTTCATGTATGCCCGCATGCCAGAAGAGGGCACCAGATCTCATTATGGATGGTTGTGAGCCACCATGTGGTTGCTGGGAATTGAACTCAGGACCTCTGGAAGAACAGTGAGTGCTCTTAACCTCTGAGCCATCTCTCCAGCCCAAATAAGTATTTTTTTAAAAAGGTACTTCATGTGAAAGCCACTGTTTTAACTCCCGGCTTCATCACGTGAGCGCTTTAGCACAAGATACCTGTTCTTTCGTGATACAGACCACGAAAGCATTGTGTTTCTGTCACATACCTTTAAATTGTGGTAAACAAACAAATACAGAAAAAAAAAAACCAAAATTTCCTGTCTCAGCTATGTGTGTGTATAGGTATGTGTCTCCAAGCATGCAAGTGTAGGGGACAGAGATGAATGTTGTCTTCCCCACCACTCCCCACCTTTCCTGTCTTGAGATGGCTTTCACTGAACCTGGAGCTCTCCATTTCGGCCACATTCTGGTCAGCGAGCACCCAGGATTTGCCTGGCTTCACAGACCCGAGGTGTGGGGGTGGTAGAGTGTGCTCTTGACTACCTAGCCATCTCTCTCCAGCTCCATCCCGCCTTTAAGTGTGCGGCTGATGAAGGTTTTCAGAACATTTCCGCCGCACAAAGCTGACGCTGCCAGACTTTTGTTACAGAAAAGACGAGCCCTCAAGCTGTGACATCATAAAGCTAATTCATCCAAAAGTGAAACTACTGTTTCTTTTTCACTGCAAGCACATAGTAGGGAAGGTTATAGTCATGAAATCACCGCAGGCACATAGTAGGAAAGACTATAGTCATGAAATCACCGCAGGCACGTAGTAGGAAAGGTTATAGTCATGAAATCACCGCAGGCACATAGTAGGGAAGACTATAGTCATGAATAAACTTTGGTCACAACCCCAGCTTATGCCCACACCATTTCTTTTGACCTGTTCGGGTGGACTCCAGCACCCTCGAAAGAGCCGGCCGTGTCTTAGTGTTGTATGGAAACAGTTTGGGTTTGCTGGCTTTGGGAGGTTCTCCGGTACCCTCCAGGGGCTGCCTGCACTTTGAGAGTTGCTCACGTGGGTTGCTCGCTGTCTTAGGGGGATCTTGGTGGCAAGGTAGAAGAAGAATAGTGAATCCAGGTGGAGGCAGAGGAAGGCCTACACTTGAATAACAGGGTCATATGGAAGAAAGCCCACGGTAGTCGTTCCTTCAGAGGAGACTAATGTAGGCACATGCAGGCGTGACCGTGAGATTGTTAGCTTTACCCTGTCTGAGTTTATCTCATCTCCACCATTCATCTTAATCTACTTCAGTTGAGGTTTTCCCTAGTGCTATAATGATAACAACAACAACAAAACTATTCTCAAATAAATTAACAACCTGGAAGAGTAAATGAGCTGTTAAATTTCCTTTTCTTTTTCCTCATTTTAGAGTTTTAGTGAATTTGGGGCATTGTTCTGAGTGATGCTGTTTTGGACCTTCTGTGTCTGCGACCACGCTGCCACAGTACCACTACCACTTAGTGGTAGCTGCCATGCTACCACTTAGCAGGGTAGGGGCGCAAGGATTGGAAAAATGTAAAGTAGGAGGGACAGAGATAAGAAAGAATCACTAAGACTAGGATTGTAACCGGGAGGGCCCCTCAGCTTGTACTGAATGCTGAATTAACGAGGAAAACAAAAGACTACGTTAACAGGATACCAAGGACAACAGTTACTTGCTTCAAGTAACTCAAACCATCAAGTCATTAATTCTTGACAAAAGCATTCTGTTGTTTAGGCAGTGAACCCACCCTGGACCAAGTATCCTGAAGGCAGCTACTGCCAAGGTCAAACCTTAGAAGGAGTAGATGTATTTTTTAATTTCTTGACCGTTGGTCAGGGTGGTGTGGATCTACCTGTATGGGCCATTTTAATGTCAAAAGGACAAGTAGCCACATCCTAGGTCAGGATGTGTGGCCCTGGTTTTGTCTACAACTTTGAGCAAACTCAAACTCTCTGACCTCTCTGACCTTCAGACAAGGTGGAAATAGGCTCATTTTTAGGCCTCCAGATGTGTACATAGCTAAGCATGGCTTTACACTGCTCAGGCAGTCAATAATGAAGAAAGCGCTCATTGCTTCATGTTTTGGGAGTTTTCTGTTCCTTCTTTTCGCGTGTGGGTATGCGTACACAGGCACTTGGAGGACGTGAAATTACCTGGGTGCGAGTGAGAAGGAAACACGGAACATGCAACAAACCCGTTTAAAAGTTTATTAGAGGGGGTGCGTACAGGCCTGGGGAATCGGTGTGCAGAGAGAGAAGGAGAGAAGAAAATGTTAAGTCCAGCTTTTTAAAAACTGCCTAGCGCGTGCGCACAGGGGGTTGGTGTGACTACATCATACGCCAATGACGCAGTTGATGGGCATATGCATGCACGCAAGGGTTTAGCTGAGTCATACGTGGATGGAACCACACATGCGCGCACGTTGGTCACACAGGGTCCTTTAACATTCAAGCAATTGCCTGAGGGCTTGTCTGCACATCCATGACTCTAGAACCCGGAAGTGCAGCCTTATTTGTGGCTGAATAATTACAGGATGAAAGCTGGTGCCAGGAATAGTCCTCTCCACCTTACTCATTGAAGCTGAGGGGTGTTTTTTTTTTTGTTTGTTTGTTTTTTGTTTTGTTTTGTTTTTTTTTTGTTTTGTTTTTTGTCAAACCCAGAAAAGAATCACTGACATGGCTAATATTTCTAGGCAATTACTCCAGGGATCTCCTGTCTCCGCCATCTGAATCCGGAAGGGTAGGCAGCTGCCACGTCCACATGAGTTCTGGTGATGAGAATCCAGTCCCCTTGTTTCGGGTGAGCCACTGATAGTTTCTCCTGTCCTTAACCAGCAGTTCCAATGCCTCGCCTTCGGAAGGTGCACGGCTCCCAGGAGGCCGCAGCTGTACGCCTCACTCGCTCCCAAAGTTCCAGCATCCTTCTCACGAACTGCTGAAGGAAAACGGCTTTACCCAGCAAGTGTACCACAAGTATCGCCGACGGTGTTTAAGCGGTAAGATGCTTCGTCTAGCTGTGTTGACATGATAGGGAACTCAGTCTAAATGACAAGGTGCCTGCCCTCTGTCTAGTTGCACTGATGTTGCAGGAAATTCTAAAGCTTAAATTGTCACTTTATATCTTACTAAGATAGCATTTTATTTTGTCCTAAATAAGGACCTTTAGTTTATATTTTCTTGTGTGTTTTATAGCTTAAACACATTAAATGTACTAAATGAATTTAGTGCATTCTTGCTGTACTGTTGACAAGTATTTGTAACTTGAGTTGTGTGTCGTAGATTTACTGTTGGCCCTCTACTTAGCAGAATCTCACTTGCCGTGTCAGGGTGGTTTTGTGTTTTGTTTTGTTTTTTTTTTTTTCATTTTGAGGCATCATCTCTTTTCAGAGAGAAAACGCTTAGGAATTGGGCAGTCACAGGAAATGAACACCCTCTTTCGTTTCTGGTCCTTCTTCCTCAGAGACCACTTCAACAGGAAAATGTATGAGGAATTTCGACAACTTGCTCGGGAAGATGCAAAAGAGAATTACAGGTCAAACATTTCCTGAGGCCTCTTCTAATATTCTTTTAGAAACATCATTTCAAGTAGTCTGACTTTGAAAATAACCACAGTGTGAATGAAATATGGGTTATATTTGTTTTATGTTGCTGTGCAGTAAATAACCCTAAACTCAGATTAAAGCAAACATTTGTTAATGCCTAAGGGCAAGACTATAGGACTCATCTGGCCAGGTAGCTCCAACCTGAGTCCCTCATGGAGTTCCATGCAGGCCGTTTCCAGGGTTGGCGTCTCTGCAGTGTCTTCCTGGGCTCCTTGCCTTGGCTGTTGGCCGGGGCGTCATTTCTGAGCCACAGCTGCCTCGCAGAGTGTTCTTTAGCGTAGCTGTAATGGATTAAGTAAAATGCTGCAGATCCCCGAGTGGCTGAAGCAGGCAGCCGGTTCATGAGACCACACCCTCTAAAGTGATGGCAGGCAGTGGGCAGTGAGCAGCGGGTCCCGAGACCACACCACAGGTCCCCAAAGTGGCAGCAGGCTGCAGGTCCCAAGAGCAGCCAGTCCCAGGCAGAGATGACCGCAGTTCCCCCAAGTGGCTGCAGTCAGCCACGAGGGGCAGTGAGTCCCAGGCAGAGAGCCGGGTGGTGGTGGTAGTGACTGAGAGACCTTGATGGAGCAACCAGTCCCACGAGGAGAGACAGACAGATGGGCACACCACAAGACCACACCGCAGGTCTCCAAAAGCGGCTGATCCTGGAGCCACACAGGTGGGCGAGACACAGAGACATGGATAGGTACACCATGGAGAGTGAGGTTGTATATTTATTTAGTGGGTTATGGAGGGGAAAGGAGAGAAGGGGAGAAGAGCAGAGAGAGAGAAAAAAACAGAAGAGGGAAGGGGGAATTGGGGAGAAGGGAGAGACAGAAGCTACCTCTTTGAGAGGGAGACAAAAAGGAAGGGACTCAGGCTGGAAGCTGAAGATCAGCATGCCTCAGTGGATGGGAAGGGAGTGGGCATGGCTTGTCTCTTAAAGGGTCAGAGCAGACCATTACAGTAGCTACTCACAGAGCACTGAGCTAAGAAAGAAGGGAGCTGCCAAGGCAGAAGCCCCAGTACTTGTCCCAGATTCTCTAGGTAGTTATGAGAGAAGAAACAGGGAAACTGCCTTTCTGATTTGTTAAGTGATGTTATAAATCTGCTGTGAATATACTTTATAACTATCCAGAGCTACATAATTAAGCTTAGACCATTATAGTTGAGGAGATGAAAAATGTGAGCCGTTCCAGACAAAGATTATATTCAAGAGAAAAATCTAATAAAACATTTCCAGTGTCACTGAGTCTTTTGACCAGCTCTTAGGAATTAGCACTCCTGCACGGATTAGCATGTCAGTTAACAATTTGTGCTGAGGCAGAAGGCTGGCAGGTTCGGGGCCAGCTACAGCTACGTTGTGAGTTCTAGGGAGTCATGAGTACAGAGTGAGACACTGCCTCAGAGAACAAAAATAAGAAACACGACTGAACGTCCCTCGGTTAGGGGTTGTGCCAGGTAGGAAATGTCACTGTGAGGTACTTGAGTTATTTTAGCAAAGTCACAGTCTTATGCCTTTTTCTTCCTTTCCACAGATATGGGTTAGAATGTCTTTTCAGGTTTTATAGTTATGGACTGGAAAAAAAATTCAGACAAGAAATTTTTAAGGATTTTCAAGAGGAGACCAAAAAAGACTACGAATCTGGTAAAAACAAACACTGTCTTTGGAAACGGTAGACTTGCACTGTCAATAAACGGAAAGGAAGGTTGACAAGGTGACCCTGGGTAAAGGCACTGCCACCAATCCTGCAGCCCTGTAGTGAAGGGAGAGAATCTACTCTAACAAGCGTCTTGGCCCAAACCTTCATGTGTGCACACAGGCAGTGTGTGCTCGTTCACACGCACACACACACACACACACACACACACACACACACACACACACACAC